TTCAGTCTGATTGCCTGTATAATACAGACCATAGAATTTCATTCCATTACCCCACATTGAGGCCAATAACTAGTGTTTAACTAAACCATATCTTCCAGAAAGGCATCCAGTCTTGATTTGAAGACATCAGGAGATGTCCACCACTATCCTTGGTAGTTTGTTCCAGTGGTTAATAACCTTCCTGGTAAAAATGTGTGCCTATTTCTAATGTAAACTTGTCTGGCTTTAACTTCCAGTCAACAGCTCTTGTTATAACTTTCTCCATTAAAGAGCCCTTTAGTATGTGCTATTTTCTCTCTTTTGTGTGTGTGTGTGTGTGTGTGTATGTGTGGATAAATTAAACAGAATGAGCTCTGTAAATCTCACTGTAAAGCATTTTCTCCAGCCCTTTGATCATTTTGGGGCTCTTCTCTGAACCGTCTCCAATTTTTCAGTCTCCTTTTTTTGAAATGTGGACACCACAACTGAACATAATAGTGCAGTATCTGTCTCACCCAATGCCATTTACAGAGATAACATCATCTGTCTCGGGCTGAATTTGTTTGGAAAGTGTCAGCAATAATGGTTCAGCATTTCTGAGAACAAGAATAGGTAAAATACTTTCTTTTGACAGTTTAAAAAAAAAATCTTACAAATTATTTGGTTGAGAAGCTCTAGTGCCTCTGTGCTTAGGAGCAGGGACTTGAAATTTGCTGCTATGTAAAAATAATGCCCAAATTTGGCCAAGTTTTATGCCGTTGCTCCAGTTAACAAATCTGTACATGTTCAGCAGAGACTTGTTAGTATCTGGCAGCTAAATTCTCTGAAGATTCCATCTTCAATGAGCATGCTCCATCCCCTCACAGCTCCTACTTGTGACCAGACTTCATATGCATCATTACAGCGGAGAAACTGAGCATGCTGCAGCCTAGTACTACAGGGCCTGAGTAGGAATTTGCCTGCATTTGCTCTTCCCAGCTGCTATAGACAACTGTGGCACTGGTCACCAAAGCAGAGAACAGGGAGACTGTTCACTCTATGCTGTCAATGACCCCTTCCTGGTGCCTAGGTAGTATGGAGGACAAAAGACAGATCTGGGACAAGGAGCCTAGCTTGGAAAAACAGAGAGCTGGCGGTGAGGGAGAAGAAGACTGGGAGCAGGAAAGGGAAGGGGAGATGGGGACTGGCTGGGCAAAAAGACAGGCTGGGATGAGGAGATGGAAGCCAAAGTGAAGAGACAGAACTGTGACAAGGACAGGCCAGACAGGACACAGGACAAGGGACCTGTGACTACTAGATACACTTCCTTCAAGGTTCTGGAGAGAATCCCCAAATTCCTGAGTCTCACCATTTGTCTGTTGTCAAATAATAGATGCAAAACCCACCAGCAAAGTGTTTGTCTCTTTCTCCTCTAGTGCCTGGTCCACACAGAGGATGTCAACATTCTACCACTATCAGACACTCCATTAGTTCAAGTGGCAGAGATCTATGTGATGGACTAAAGGTTCCAAGCCTGCTGCTGGCCCATGTGGATATTAATACCACATTCTGGAATTTCTGGGTGGATTTTTTTTTCAGTTTGCTTTTATAAAAACTTAGGAAACGTCACACCAAATACTATGTTAAGAGAACATGATTAAGGTTGCAAATTCAAGTACTCAAGTTGGGAAATGACACAACTAAGGTTGCCTACTGTGTATGCATCATGAACACATACTATTTATTCTATAGGTCCCTTGCCTTATTCAGTGCACAGGATGGATCTGCTCTGTGGATGAATCAGGACTGTGCAGTGACAATGACTTTTGCCTATAGGATCCCTATTATCTGCAGAAGTTGGAAAGTGAGTAATGCTTGAGGCAAAGGATTGCAGGAAAGCAGTTGAATGCTGCCCTGGAGAATTGGATTCCATCTGTGCCTCTGCCTCAAATCATCCTCTGTGATGCAGTTCACCCAAATTTTTCATAGGTGGTCAATACTTGTCAGAAACCCAGAAAACTCAAGGCCTTGGGGTCTGACTGGAAGAACAGTTGAGCATTATCCACAGCAAATATGTCTCAAACTGGAGTGCCCAAAATTAGTGGATCCTTTTTATCTTAATCTTTGTCTCAGTTCCCCATCTGTAAAATGAGGATATATCCACTCATCTAACATGGGTGTTATGCAGAGGTGGATTAAGCTTTTGTAGGGCCCTGAGCCAGAGCAAGTGGGGGCCCCTCCCCACCCCTTTTGCCACAGCAGGGCAGAGTATGGGAGCACCCAATTGGCCAGGGCCTCTGGGCACAGGCCCCGTTGGCCCAGTGGCTAATCCACCAATGGTGTTATGAAAATAAATTAATGTTTTGTTAAGTGTTTACTGCGCACCATAGAAAAGCCCATAAGAAAATGAATAATTCTGTCTTCAGAGCAGAGCTTGAGTAGTATACAGTAAATAAGGCATGGGACCACACATTGAACAATGAGGATCAAATGAATTGTTGAATACCTATTCATCCAATGAGCACCATCTGTCCTGTGCACAAAATGAGACAGGGTCCTGTGGAAAAAATCTCATGTGATCATGTAATTATGACTGTATTGTAATGTATAAACATAAAGGGGGGGATAAACTAAGGTTCCAAAGGCAACCTTAAGTCTGGCATTTCCTACCTACTTTGCAAATTTAACATACTTTAAATGTAATTTTTTCATGTGCAATTAGTATTTATGTTGCAGTAGCATCCAAAAGCCTCCCTATGGTTAATTTATTGTGCCTTGTCTCTAGCTTGCAAACTCTTTGAGAACGAGATTAGGTCTAACAACATTTTTGTATAATCTCCATGAATGCTGCCATAAGATAAATAATATGTAATTGAGAAAAACATCCCTATACTGCAAACCATATTAGAAAAGTAAGACAGCAATTTGCCACCAAATCTGTGTATTGTTAATTCAAGTTCTGACATAAATGTTTTTAGTTTTTATTTCTGAGCTGCTTTTTGTTTTTGTTTTTTTAGTTATGAAAGTCAACATTACCCACTTACTTTCTGTTGGTAGATAATTTTGTTTTGTTTATTTGTTTTTTAATAACCTTTAGTGTATCTCCTATCAACGTTAGCCTTCCAGGAGTTCCCTGCCTTTCTCTCACTTTTGCAAAGTGGCCCACATTTTTATTTGTTGTTCAGTGTATTTTTAACACACAATTATAAATTGTAGCTGTAACAACACTTAAGAAACCAGCTTCCACTGATGATCTCTGTTAAGCGTATGATCTGTTATTTTGTTAGACAACTTACTTAGCTAATCTTTGTTATATAGTTATTGAATTGATAACTCATCGGTTAATTTACCTTAGAAATATATAGCATATAAAATTATATAAATTTGCAGTAAGATCATGTTTGAGCTGATTGGTCACAGCTGACCATAGTTCCTCAAAGGCACAGTCTGTAGGATTTCAGCTGGTTTAAAGAGTAGCCTAACACAGGCTATGTTCATAACTAAACTCCTAGACCTTCATCCTTTAAACAGTTCTGCATGTGCTTAACTTTAACCAGGCACATAGTCCCATCAAAGTCAATAAGACTACTCACGTGGTTAAAGGGTTAAAGTGAAGCTCGTGCTTAAGTGTTTGTAGGATTGGAGTCTTCATTTCAAGTATTTTCCTTGATTGGGGAGGAGGATGTGGTAGAAAAGCACAAGGTAGCTCTAAATCCTATTTTGTATTTTTAAGCATTTGGGTTATGTCTCCACTGCAACTGGAGGTGTAATTGCAACACATGTAGACATACCTAAGTGCAGGTCAGCCACCCAAGCAATTACCTAAGGTTCTGGGCAAGCTTGTGCAGCCTGTACTGAAGCTAGATTCAAGTTAGCTGAAGTATGTCTACATATGTTGCAATCTCATCTCTAACTGCAATGTAGCCTTACTTTCACATTTCTTCTGGTGCCCAAAGTGTTGTCAAGCAATCTGGTGGAAGGGGACGTTACAGCTCCCAGTTGGTTTGTTCACATTATTTGAAAGTGTTTGTGTTTCTGAATATAGTAGCAAGTGTTATTTTTGTGTTAGAGATGCCTCAAGTATAATATATCCAATTTGGCCACTAAAAATGTTAACTTTCCTAATGGTGCAGAAGTCTCTAGTTGAGAAACACTGGCTGACCACACCAACAAATGCAAACTGGATGTAATATGAGTTTACTATTAATGCTGTCCCTACTGAACCACATACTGGACGAAAGCCCTAAAGTTCTTTTCAGGTCTAGACAATCTTTGTAAACTTTCAGTGAGACTATACAGTGGTAAGTTAAAAATATTCTAGCCAAAAAATCAAACTCTTGTCTACTGGTTGGGAAAACAAATGTCTTTAATTGTGGAGTTGCACACAACCCAGTCACAACTCTTTGAAACTTTAAACAAAACGTATTAATAGATTTTTAAAAGTGCTTGTTCTGCTGACAGAGACAAAAGCTGTAAGAGGAGTCACTGAGAGTTCTAAACATCAGTCACATACAAGTACACTAATAGCACCTGCAACATCGTTTTGTGTTCAGGAGAGGAAGGCTGGTCCAGGGCTCTACTACAAGTTCCCTGCTCCACTACAGGCTTAAATATATAGGGGGATGAGCTAAGGATAATAGAACTCCCTTACTTCAAAGGGGTGAAGTTGGAAGGGAAAATACACTAAAGATTACAAGGTGCTGAGTTACTATAGTTATAGGGCTGGATAAGATAGATTTAAAAACATGGAAGGAATATTTCCATCAGTATGCAGATAATTCTAGTTTTTTGCAATAATCTCTACACTGCATGTATGCAGAAAGAGATAAGCATATTGGCAAACACTAGTAAAACCTGTCAAACTAAATGCTTTCTGCATGGCTAGCCTCAGAAATATGAAGAAGAGTTCTCAGCTCCCAGTAAATGTTGCTGCTAGCCCAAAGCAAAATGGATAAGGGGGAAGCTTTTAAATGATTTAATTGACCTAAAGCACAGTTTCTTGAATGCACTGTTGTGCAGCCTTAGGAGTGATGATTGACAGGCTGCTTAGTTCAGATTGCTCAACATGTTTAAAGTGCAGGTCCCATTTGAAAAGGGGCTATGTAAAAACAGCACCTTCTACTCAGCAAATCTATTCCTTGTATACTTCAATGAAAGAGGAAGAGTTCACTTAATGTCTTCCCGGCTGAGCCACCACAGCTCTGGGAGAAGAAACTGGATTATATTCAGGTTTGTGCAACATCAATAGAATTGTTGAATTTCAATTACAGGACATCTGTGTGAACCCATTATTTTCAAATTGTATCCTCCATTATACAAATGTAAACAAACGGAAGGTGGCACTGGTGCAAGTGCAGGCAGCATTTGGCCTGAAGAGTCGTCATTACTGGGGATAATGTATGAAAGCAAGCCAGAAAGAAAAAGGCTTGACTTAATCTTCACTGAATATGTCTCTTCCACTTTGTGCACATACAAGCTAATTATTTTTTTCCTCCAGACTGGGAAGGAAGAGAAAGTGAGAAATAATTATTCTATTTTTAAATATTTGGGAGGTGCTTTCATACTATGGTAAGTGGGGCCTCAGTTTCAAGGGGTTGCATGAGCACTGTGGGGGGCTAACAGCAAAATCACAGCTGCAGAAACAGATTCCACATGGGTCGGGCCAGGTTGTTCCCATGGACATCAGGTTTATGTGTGGTTGAATGGCCACACTCCCCTGCCTGGGCTGCACTGTCAACAAGGGAGTAATGCACTGCAACAGGAATTCCTCCAGAACCAAGCTTTGATGAGAATCCCCCTCGCTCCCCCCATAGCGTGTTACTTATGTAAGAAGGGGAGACAATGACCCTACTTTTTAAATATATAAAATAGGAATATATAGATATAAAGTATATTTAGTGCCTGTCTAGTGACTTTAAAGAATACTTTCCTTATTCTTGTCAATAACATACTAGATAAGAAATAGTATGGAGGCACATATCTACAGCTTTAATTTGTAACTGATTTTTACAAAAAAAAAAGAAGCAGCTTATATATTGATATCCTAATGTGTGAAGCAATAACTTTGTCCTTGAGTCTTTTTTAAAGAAGGATTTTCAATAATTTCATGTTAAATAAAAACATATCAGCATATCCCCTTTAACAATCTAATTGTGTATCCTGGGCCCCATCTTTAAAAATAAATGAGATTAAGTCAAAATAATTCCGTCTCTGACAGACACTTCTCACTGTCTTAAAATCTTTTCTAAGGGAACACTAATGGCCCCAATCATACTCTGTTATACTGATACAATTCCATTGTAAATAAATAGGAGAAATGTGCCCAATCTCTAGGCTTCTGTTCTTCCTGTGATGTGGTGTTCACCCCACACAAACCCTGAGCATGTTAATGTGGGACAGATAGGTTGAAATAACCTCATATGCTGCACCTGGAGGAAAGCCAGGGCTTGATAAGTACTAATGGCAGATGAAGTCCACCTGGGGGGTGGGTAATAAAGCTAGAAAGTGAGAGCAGGAAGGGGTTGTAGAGAGGAGTTTTGTAGTCACTCCCTAGAGGGAAAGGGAATTGGCCAGCACAAAGGCGGCAATCTAGGGACATAGGAAGCCCTGGGGAGTCTGGCAAGAGTCCTGGGGGGTAGACCAAAGGGAGAGGAGGAAGTTTTAGAGGAAAACCCAGAGATAGGCAAGGAGATAGAGAGATGGGGTAGGAAAGAGCCCAGGCAAACAACAGGGTCTGAGACTGAGCAGACCTAGGTTGCTAGTCATGGGGTCCCTGGACTGGGACCCAGAGTAGAGGGTGAAGCCAGGTTCCCATACCAGTCACTGGCAAAGTGGCACAGGACCTGGAGTTGAAACAGAAGACTACCTGAGATGGCATGTGCACAGCTTTTCTGGTGGGACTTGCTTATCCTGGAAGGGAAGCAGAAGGAGACTATGTAGTGGCTTGGCTGGGGGTCCAAGTCATGAAAAGGAAGCACCCTGAGTGTCACAGAGGGGTGGGGAGGGGTTACAGCATGAACAACTGGCAGAAGGGAACACCAGATGGGGCAAAAACGAATTCCCGGACCCAGCCACAAGGAGGTGCAGCTATGGTGAGTGGAACCCCTTTACACTCTCCTTTTGTGTCTTTGAAGTTGACTGGGGCAGAGAAAGAGAATTCTGTTTTACAAAGTTTGGTTTGGCTTAGGTTCAGAATGACCATCAAAAATTTTGAAAATTTTTAGGGAAAGGGAATGGAGCCCTAGCTCCAGGGCATTCACCTAATGGACTAGCCCAGAGCCACAGACCCTGGGCTCCCTGACTCTGGAGCAATCTTCCTGGTGGGCTGGTGCAGACCACAGAAGGTTGGGCTCCCTAGCAGCCTGCCAGAGAGCTGGATGGGTGAGCTGCTGGGAAATCAGACAGGGTTCAAAAGGAAGCTTGCCTTGTAGGCAGGGTTCCAGCAGAACCTGGCCTGGCTTCTATGAGACTGTCCTTTCTCATCCTGTAATCCCCTGCTTCGTTCTCTACACACCTTCCAATTTCTGCAGCAGTGGAAGAAGGGATCCTACAGACCTGCTTCATCCCCAGAGCAGCTCCATCCTGTGCACCGAATAAGGTAGGGGTCAGGTGGGGAAAAAGTATGCAATTAAAGAGTATCATAATTCACATGCACACAGGTGCTGAATTAGATTCACACAGGTAATCTTAATTCTGGCATGTCCTAATGTTTAACTGCTTGAATTTTCAACCTTAATGGTCTTTAACATAGAGTATTTCATGTGTAATTTCCTAGGTTTTTTTATAAAAAAACAACCTAAGAAACAGAAGTTCCATTAGGTGGAGTTGTATAAACACCCACCTGGGTTACCAGCCTTTATCCCCACAACACAGACCTATCACTTGAGCTAATGAAAAGAAAAGGAGGGTGGGCTGGTACAACCACAGCTTCAATGTGGGTTTACACCTGTTATGTTACCATAGGGCCCTCCAAAGATTGCTGAAGTCCAGCAGCAAAAAGTAGTCTGGATGAGATCTTTCAAAAGTAAACAGAAGTTTAAAAAAAATCTTATGAAACCATCTGTATACATCAGTACAGTAGCACAGAGAAGAATATCATGCACCTGCTTTTGGCTGTGGCGTAACATGGTATAGAAGTGACATAAGCCAACAATAACAGGGCTCAACCGAAAAGCACGTGGCATGCCTCTCACTTTGCTGACATGCACATCTGCAAAAGGAACTGCTGTGTGATTAAAAAAAAATCAAGTCAATTTAAGTGCCTAAATATAGACTTAGGAGTCTAATTGTAAGCGCCACTTTTGGAAAATCTTTGTGTTTGTTCCCACCCAGGAGTGTGGGGAAAACTGAAAAACCACAAGGAGTTGAGAGGAATGTTGGAGCACGGCAGTGTGGCCTTCTGGAAGGGCGGTGCAGACAAGTTGTGTGCCAGCCTTCATAAAAGTGTTTCTAACTGGCTGCCCTGTTTCTCACTTAGCCCCACTCTGTTCAGCAGCAGCATTTTGAGTAATATTCCTCCTCCACTGCTCTAGCAAGTTATTCCAGCTGTGAATCCCTCACTTCCTTCTCAACATCAATTTCACTTCAAACTTTTCATCTTTGCCTCGACAATCTTCCTGCTGTCTGCACATCTACTTTCATTTCCTCCAGCTCACTTTCCCATGGCCTATGTTCTTCCCAAGCACCACTTTCCATCTCGCCTCTGCATCTTCCTTGCCACCTTTTGTAGTTGGAACTTTTTCCCTCTTCTTTGGACGAAACTTCCTCTTCTTCCTAATTCCTCCTAAAAATCATTTTTTTAAAAAAGGATAATTCGTTCCAAAAGAGTTGTCAAAATAAAAATCCCTGCACCAAAAATTATTTAAATCCTCTACTTAGATGTGATAATGGAATCCTAGGACTGGAAGGGACCTCAAAAGGTCATCTAGTCCAGTCCCCTGCACTCATGGCAGGACTAAGTACTGTATTATCTAGACCATTTCTGACATCAGTTTGTCTAACCTGTTCTTAAAATTCTCCAATGACTGAGATTCCACAACCTCCTTAGGAAATGTATTCCAGTTCTTAACCATCTTGACAGAAAATTTTTCCTAATGTTCAACCTAAACTGCCATTGCTTCTTGTGCTATCCTCAGAGGTTAAGGAGAACCATTTTTCTCCCTCCTCCTTGTAACAACCTTTTATGTACTTGAAAACTGTTATGTCCCCTCTGTCTTCTTTTCTCCTGACTAAAGAAACCCAGCTTTTTCAATCTTCCCTCATAGATCATGTTTTCTTTTAATCATTTTTGTTGTTCTTCTCTGGACTTTCTCCAATTTATCCACATCTTTCCTGAAATGTGGGTCCCAGAACTGGACACAATACTCTAGTTGAAGTCTAATCATCTCAGAGTAAAGCAGACGAATTAATTCTCGTGTCTTGCTTACAACATTCCTGCTAATACATCCCAGAATGATGTTTGCTTTTTTTTTCCAATGGTGTTACACTGTTGACTCATATTTAGCTTGTGATCCACTATGACTCCCAGATCCCTTTCTGCAGTACTATTTTCTAGGCAGTCATTTCTCATTTTGTATGTATCTATATGATGCATCTATACTGTTTCGTTTATTTTTTCTAAATTTGGACTGAGTCTTCATGACCCTTTCTCCTTATGAATAAGGATTGTAAGCTTTCTGAAGCAGGGACTGTTTATTTTTCTGTTTATAGCACCAGACATTCTGTCAATACTGAGTAAATAATAGCAGCAAGAAATAGACACAAGTCTGAAGACTACTTTTAAACTATCTGGGGTCACTGAGAGCAAAGAACTTCTCATTTTTTTTGTAAGGCTTAGGGGCTGCCCCCAAATTATCTCAATGGGGCAGCTATAGGGGAAACTATTGGATTTGCAGGAAGATATGATTCCCTGCTTTCATCCCTGCGCGTGCGCATGCGCGCTCTCTCTCTCTCTCTCTAGCTCTCTCATAGATAAATCTAGTTTAAAATTCTCAGGTTTTGGAAGGATATTAGTGGTTTTGGGGTTTTTTTGCACAGCCATTGCACAAGTGTGTGATGAGATCATGCTGTGGCTCATTTAAGCGAGGATTGTGATGTAGGTAATTTATCTTTGCTACCTCATGGGGTAGTTCAAAAATAATGAAGATAATAGCCCACAATGTGTAACTATCAACACTCTAGTTCCATAATTGGTTTTCTCTTGTTCTGTTTCTGTAGTCTGATAAAATTAA